TATTTCAAGCAGATATTTCCAAAACCCCAGTGCGCAGAAAATTTTAGATGATTTGAATCGTCGAAATAAATCTGAAAGATAAAACATTAAAGTAAACAACTATTATTTTAATAATTTGAGTTGAGTTCTCTACAATCACTTAATTTTGAAATCATCATATTGAACGTAATCTCTTTCAACTCTATCCTAAGTAATATCGAGAAGTCTGATACATCCACCAGAAGAGGAATCTCTGTAACAAGCGAGGGCAATACAGCTTTTGATGAATTCTTTGCACTCAGCTCTAGTCATATTCTCACGGTAGTTAGCATCGATATAACCCCAGATAAAGGTACCTCCTGAACCGCTCAGAGCCCAGTTACCTTGCTCAAAGTAGCCTGATGAGTTAACTTGATAAATTTGATATCCCTTATATGGGTCCCAACCACTGCAGATCATTGAAGCTGATAGGGAATTCTTATTGCTATAGATGATTTCTCTCATAACTTGGGCAGCTGATTCAACTGGAGGTAAGTTACCTAGCTCATTACTATAGAATAAAATCATTATTGATTGTGTAAATAAATAAAGCTTACGCTTAGATTTCCATGTAATATCTAACATATCTGGCAATGGTGCTTGTGTGAGATGAAGTACCTGATCTATAAGTGAAATAAGATTGCAAAGCTTTATTACCTTTGACAATAGATTCTTTAATGAATAGGTTCAAGCTTATCTGAAACTTTGTTACCAACATACATATTCTGCAAAAAATATTGGTTAATTGCTTTAATTTTAAATGAAGGATCTTACATTGGCAGATCTACCATCAGCACCAAGAAGGATACCTCCGTCGTACTTCACAGCGATAATAGTGGTCTATAAATAGGTTTAGCTCCGGGAAATATAAGCTTACTCCATCAGTTTGTACTGAATGAGTGTTAACCTCGGGAATGATCTCATTTTAGAGATCAGCGATAGACATCATCATCTTTTATATTTAAATTTATAAATTTCAATACCAGCATCGATACAATCTTACGGGGTTTTGGGGTTTTGGGGTTTTGGGGTTTTGGGGTTTTGGGGTTTTGGGG